CTTGTGTACTAATGTAATTAAATTTTGAATTTTTATTCGCAAATGGCGCGTGATTCCAGTGGCGCCTTGTCAGGGCAGACAAAAGAGGCACAAAATTCATTATTTTTCATAGCTGTATACTTAAATTGCGTTCTAATGTTCAAAACAATATCAGAATAGTCATTCATGTAAGGAGAAACGTAAAACAGGTCCAAAATGAGATTCTTGTCAAATACGTTTAAAAAAACATTAATCTAGATGTAATTTTGAGTAATAAAATAAAACTTTTGTAAATATAGCACTTGCAAATATTTATCTTAAATGTACCCAGGCAGCAATAAAACGTGATCGATGCAGTCATGGATTTTTTTATTTGTCTCTGATCGTTGCATTTTCAGTTCAGATGTTCAAATTGACAGTAACAAGACGAAAATTCTATTAAAGATAAATTGTCAAAAATTCATGGCTCTTTTTGATCGTGTTTTTTATTGTTTTCTCGGTATAATATTATAATATGACAAGTATAATATACCGGCTGTCCCAAAAAAATAATAAGAAACTTTTTTATGTTGTACATTACTATAAACACGTAATTTTATAAAAGTAAAATTGGCAACACTGCACGCAACTAATGCGTGAATATCTCCGACTTACTTTCTGATTTCTTAGTAACGATGGTGTATGAAATCCACCTTTTATTTTTTTTAGGACAATAACCGTAAAAACCAGTAGTCATTAATCGTTGGGCATTAATATTAATAAAACAAGCTGTTATTTCTCATTAATAAGTAAACCAAAAAAAATCATGTAATAAGACATTTATAAACTATAAACAAAAACAAAACCAATAAAAGAAAAATCTACTAATTTATTAAAGCATAACAAACACTAGAGAAGATGTTCAAAATTCCTGCCTTGTGATCATTTTGCTAAGTTTAGCTTTTTTCTAGTTTTATGAGCAAAAAGTAGCCCCGCTCACCCACCCCTTCATCATTCCAGTGACTACTTTTAATATTGTTCAGTTTTATTTTCCAAAATACCAGCCCCACCCACCTGACCTCTATTTTCTTAGAAGGTATATCATTTGCCACAATCTTAGCGAATACTAGCGCCACCCACCCACCCTTTCTGTCATTTACCAAAATCAGTCTTAGGTTAACAGGTACTAGCCCCACCCCTCACCCTCTATTTTTTTAGAGGGTATGTAATTTGCCACAATCAGTCTTATCTTAGCAAGTACCAGCTAAGATAAAACTGATTTTAGCAAATGACACACCCTCTAAAAAAGAGAAGGTGGGTGGGCGGGGCTAGTACCTGTAAGATAAGACTGATTTTGACCTTCTAAGAAAGAAGAGGGCGGGTGGGTGGGGTTAGTACCTGCTAAGATAATACTGATTTTGGCAAATGAGATATGACTTAAATGACATATCCTAAGAAATTTAATTAAATATTATAAGAAAAGACACTAGACGCTCCAAAGCAGTTTCAAATTTTTTCCAAACAGAAATACCTAGAACCTCAAGAATGTTTTAAATTAAAAAAAAGCGGGGTCTCAAAATTGACTCAAAAACAAGTCAGCTCAGAATTTTCCGAAAATAGAACACCAAAGTCCCCCAAAATTCTTTTAAACAATTTACAAAAAAAATCTGCATGGGGTCCCAGAATAATACACCCGGTATAACATATAACAACATAATAATTAAAAAAATTGGTCCAAGTTTATTTAGACAGAACTTCCTTTACCCTTGAAGCTATACCGTTCATCCACATTTTTGAAAATTTATAAAATTTTATTTCACGAATTTTATTTTTTTATGATAACCCCTATAAGTTAAAATAAAAATACGTGTGTAGCGAAATAAACATTTTTCGTTTCAAAATTTTGTGAGGACGTCATCAACATTCTAGAAAACACACGTATATTAGTTTGAATAGGTGGAATGTGATACTAACAACAGTACTAGGTTTTCTGGAATATCGGGTGAGCCATATTTATTAATTTTTTTGAGTCATTCTCTGTAAGTAATTATAAATAAGGTTATTGTCACTTATAGCAACCCTGCACATTGAAATATCAAAGAAAACAGCGGATTTTTAACGACTCCTCTCCTAGCGAGGACTCGATTTTGCATTGATATAAATGCATTATTCTCGGAAACCATCAACTCAGAACAGGAGACGGTCGACAGTCACAATTTACGATCGTTTCTGTTTGTTTGATAAGTTGACTAATTTTTTTAATGCAAAATGATGTAGAAAAATTAGTGCACCTCCAACAAATGCAGCTTCTTCGAAAAATTATGAAACTATTTATAATATAAAGTACTCACAGTGGAAGGAAAAAAATTGGATTCATTGGAGATCAAACTCCGGATTCTTCAGACGCAAAGCGAACGCGCTTGCCACTGAGTCATGCTTGTACGCTTGTAAGTATATAAAGACCAACTTTACTACGATAAGTAATAAAAAATAAAATTATAGATTATAAACAAAATCAAGGCAAACTCATAAACCACTAATACAGGAAATATCTATGGCATGTATTAATCAAAATTTTGAGATCACGTTATTATCAAATTGTTGGTTGTGATTATTACATAAATTTTGGTTAGCGTTATACCATGTACATTATATTCCTAACATGCATCTACAATTTTACAACAATGGGTCTGGTAGTTTCGGAGATTATCTAACTAATAAAAATCGTCACAGACGCAACACGGAAGTCACGAATCGTCGAGAAAACATAATTTAATGAATTGTTTATTTTCCTTATATGGATGATTAAGTATTTATATTTAAAAATTTATGACAAGAATTTATTTCTGGATAATATGCAACTATAACTAACTATACGACGTGAATGTACGGCTCAACTTAACTTTTACTCATTAATCGATTTGAATGAACTTGACTTCTTTCTGGAGAATTCGCGATCGCCGCTTCTTTATTCGAACGCCGCCGCCACCGATAATGAGTCACCAATTATCACGGCAATGTACTAGAAAACCCATAGACCTCGTACCGGGGTGAACCATGGGTTTACTTCGTAACAATACCTTTTTACCCACGATATTGTTCAAATTATTGGTTTTTACTTTCCGATCGGAAGCTAGGGAGATATTATAACAGGATCCATTTGACGAATGGTTAATTTCTTGTTTTTTCGCGTTTCATGCTCCTAGGATATTAAAAATAGGTCTTCTTTTTCTGTCTGTTGTCTGTCGCTTCTTAGCGATTGTGTAATTGTTAGATAAATCGAAATTGTACGACAAAATTTTGCAATTTATTTTAAAAACTACTACATTAATTGCCCTGAAGTGTAGTACATGCATTGAGGTTATGTGAGCTTGATGGATCGCTAACCAAAATTTGTGTACTATCCCCAACAAAACTACGATGACCTCAAAATTTTGCCAAGTAAACCCTATTTAAAATTATTTTAATATACAGGTAGGCGTTATCATAAAACAACTTTAGATCAATGTTAGTTTGAAAACAATGTGCTCAAAATCACTTCCGAAATCAGTGCCATATTTACAATATGCGCAAAGTGTTAAATAAATCTCAGCATGACTGCAAAATTACAGAGTTTGAGATGTCGCTGTCAAATTACAGGTCACAGATTTTATATAAATTTACAAGACATTTTTACGAGCATTTTTCGAATATTAGTGATTTTGGAATGGTTATGAAAAGTTCAGAGTATCAGTTTTTTAACATCAAGAACGTAGTGCATAATTTAAATCTTAATTTAGTCAAAAATCGGGGACCAAATTCGTAAGGTCTGAACCTTGATTGCCAACAAAGCGGTAACGACAAATGTAACTTTAACCCCTACATGTAAACTTCTTTCGCAGCGCCGGGAGACCCTTTTGGGCGCAGGCACCTTAAGATGTTCCTAAAACAGCTATCGGCTTAGGTGTAGGCAGCCAATCCTGGAACTCATTAATTGAAACAAAACAAATTTAGAACAATCTTAGCCATTATTTTCATTAGAATTTTTTATGTATCTATCCCCCTGTACCACTATTGCTTAAAGTAAGTTAGTTTGCCCGAAAGACGCGGCCACAATTTCTTGAAATACTTTGGGTCTTCCCTCACCGGAACAAAATTATCCCAATTCCAATTATAACTACAGCCTCGTTTTAGAATTAACTTGTTTAATTTAGAACCGATTTACGGAAGCTCACTTAAATATTTGATGCAATTAAATTTTTCATCCGGCACTAAACGACCACATGACCGACCCTACGCCAATCAGGTGGGACTAAATGTCTCATTAAATGCGTGGTTCGCTTAATTCTCATTAAAATATTTAATAAATTGGCCCTTAACAGTTAAATCAGAAGTATTACACCGTTCTTGCTTTAAATGGTACTGTCTAGAAGGTACATATAGACTATACTAGAATTCTTTTAACTTTGGCAGGTCTTGTAAACCGCCCCTAAAATGATGGTACAATTTTACATCTTGCCAAAATTTAAAGAATTTTACTGTAGAGTAAAATTTTACTATTATGGCCTTTGATGCAGATACTCGTTCCACTTTCTTTCTAGGTTTGTGGCTAACACAATGTAGCCTTACCAATTATTATTATAACCAACTGTGTAATGAAAGTCCTGTTCTGCTCGGATTTATTCAGTGTTTCAATAAGTGCACGAAGCATGCAATACGTGCTTCATAATAAAGCCAAATGATTTAATTGTCCGTTCTAAAATAATTGTTTCTTTATGTTCCCTGCCCTGGTTTTGACTACCGGTCGTCGTCTCTGTCATTTTGCAGATCCGTTTTTTCTGCACAAACATCGCGGCGTCGTGTACTTGAACTACTTACCAGTTAATTAACGGCAAAAAAATATGTAGTAAGAGTCAAGCACCGTGGCATGTGTTGTGCACACATCATCATCTTCAACAACTAGATTTGCGGCGTTCCTCATACCGGCTGTCAAAACTGACAAGTTCAGGTTAGCGGAACGTCACGTTCGGATGTGCTTTTTAAATTTTCGATTTTCGTTACAGCTCATAACGACTCACAATGAATGGGATTAATGGCCATCACGCCAATGGCGGCGATTTGAACGGGTGCGGGGACATCATCACCCAAAATCAACAAAAAGGGTGCTGGACTATCGGGCTAATTAACTCCAAACATCGTTACTTAACCGCAGAGACTTTTGGGTTTAAAATTAACGCCAATGGAGCGTCTCTCAAGAAAAAGCAGATCTGGACTTTGGAACCAGACAACTCCAATGCGGGCGACAGTAAGTATTATTGGAATGGATTGTATTGTTTTTTTTTTTTTAATTTGTACTGTTGGCGGCAAAATTTAAATGCAAAATGCAGTGAATGTTCCCCACACTGTTGACCAGCGATTTGAGTATACACTGAGGCAGTAGCAAACAAGGAAAACTCTGTTTAGGTACCATGGACCAACGAATATAGTGCTTTTATGGTTTTGACTGCTACAACCCCCACGTTTGTGTCATAACTTTGCATCTAATAAGCTTCATGGACAAGGGTGATGAAGAAGTCAAAGTTGTAGAACCACTATTGTCGCTGGTGCACTATAGCTTAACTGCGGGTATTAAGGCCAGAGTGACTTTATGTCACAACTTTCTCTATATAAAACAAAGACAATTTACCATCATATTCTTTTTAAACTGTTGGTGAAATTTTTCGTCATACATCTTTAATAATCAATATCTCAGTTATTTACAGAAATTTTGGAACGCGGTTTTCACCACTGTTTTCAGCTTACAAAACTCTAGAGATTACAAACGAAGCATTTTTTGTCGAAAATAAAATCAGTTTCATTGTTGATAAATTATTTGAGAATATTTATTTTGGAGCATTAAGAAGTTACAGAATTCTAATAATTACGGTTGACGTACTAGATACTGAATTTTATATTTTTATCTAGTTCTTCAGTTAAAAACGCCATAAATGTAGTGATCTTAAAAACCTATAAAATACCTTGTTGTCATTTACAAAAAAAAAAAGATCGAAAAACCTTATACTAAAAACGTTAAATTAAATGATAATGAATGTTATTTAAGACGGATATAACTTGTAAGCATCAAGTACGTGAACGAAAATAGTGATTTTATAACTTTGACTTTTCTAACCCCCTCCCCTCATTTGTGAGCAAAGAGCATCATGAACTAATGCCGCTAAGGATAAAACATCTTTAACCTTGAAGTCTCGTTGAATGTTGTACGTATAATCGTCAAAGGATATTTGGTCAATTGAACAAAAACTACTGTCTACGATTTGTCCAGGTTTCGCTCTGCTTTATTGGAGCTTCGTCAGGACTAAGCAGAACGAAACGTGGGCAAATAACATGGTTTTTGTTCATTTTTTACTTCCAGAGTGTAAACTAAGGAAGTATTGCACTAGGATCCATCCGGCAAAAGACTAGTTTCATGTTTGCTCGACGTTTCATGACCCCTAGAGTGAAAAAATAGATCCCCCGTTTCCGTATGTCTGTCGTTTGTGTCGATTTTTATTAGACAGATCATCTCCGAAACTTCCGATTGTTGTCAAATTTTATGTGGGTGTTAGGAATATCCTGAAGATGGTAAAACGCTAACCCAAATTTGTTTAATAGTCCCCACCAACCATTCGATGACGTCACCTAAAAATTTTGCATGGCAAACTGACTCATAGCTAAGCTAAAAATTCCAGTAATAACTTCGCGGTTCGTTTGAAGTAGTTTGCACACTACCTACCTTTTTTGGAATGCTTTCATTTTTCGGGCCGTTTGTGTCACCAGAACTTCCTCGACTATTCCGGTTATGGCACGTTCTTGTCGTTTCCGTGTGTTAGTCATCGCCATAGGTAACACTTATGTTTATTAGGTTGACTCAGCTTCCTATTTGATTTTGATTGTTTTGGCAAGAAATCACGGAGCCACGAAATATTTAGAAGGCTAAACCATATTGAGACCATGCTTTTGTGAACCAATCGTGTTAATTCATGTTTTTTTTGTTGTTCTTCATTTTCTTGCCATTTTATGAGTTCTTCTGTTCTTCTCGAATTGAAAATTATGTTGTAGGATCGAAAATAAAACCGATTTGAGGTGGCTACGTCACTATGTCAGTGTTCATAATATGTCAACACCCAGTCACGAAAAGTAGTTAGTTAAAAGTTATGTTGATATTGGTTGACGTCAAATTGATAACAATCGAGCACTAATAGTTTTGAAACAATTTGTTCAAATTTTGATGGTAATTCTTTAAAGGTATTTAAAGAATTCCCTATATCTCTAAATGTGACATCTCTACGGTCGATTCTAACTTCACTTCTTATTTCAAACGTTTCTTCTGACGAATAGTGAAGGCTGAGTTACATCAAAACATTTGCCAAAAATTCTGAAGTTGTTGAAAGTACGCGAAAAAGAGCAACTTTTTCCATTTATTCTAGAGTTTTTAACAATTTAATAGTACAAGACATAAGATATGTAATATTTCCTGTTCCATGAGATCTGTTAATAACATTGTTATATGTACTATGTACTAGTACTGTCGATCTGCAAATATGGGCGGGGCTAGTACTTGCTAAGATAAAACTGATTTTGGAAAATCATATACCCTCTAAGAAATAGAGGGTGGGTGGGCGGGGCTAGTATTTGATAAGATAAGACTGATTTTGGCACTTTTGACATTTTCGACTATTTCTCAACTATTTTCGAAAATTAGTTGGACATTTTCCGCTTAGGCTCGGGAAGTTAAAAGCAAATTACACTAGTTTACAAATTTAAACTTTTTTTCGTATCTAAAAATAAAAAAAATATTTTCTACTTCTAAATTACTTACTGATAACAAATCCAAAAACGGATAATCCCTATCACGTCAGGTTTTTTCATAAATCCAAAATAATGAACTTTGCTTTTACCTTCTTGTTAGTGTTAAACTGATTCATGTTAATGCACCATTGTCGCATAAAAATGTCTTCGAGATCGTGCAAAGTAGGTGCAAATCAGTTTTCTTACGTTTGTGGTAAAATTTTAGTACCTAAAGCTGGAAGACCTGTTCAAATGTGCTTAAAAAGAAAGTATCAAGGTTTTTGGGACGAAAATGTATTACTGTTGGTCTATTATAAGGGAAACTGACAGTACTGCCAATAAAAGAAAGTGTTAATCATTTTTAATTTTCAGTCATACTGTTTATAATATATACTGGGTGTGGCTTTTATTTGATACAACCCCTGTAACTTCTTTATTCTTAAAGATAAACCTATACTTCTTTGAGCAAATTTGTATAATTTTAAAAGATCTTTGTGAGGGCAACCTCACATTTTTATTATCACTTCCCGTAGAAAAATCAAAAGCAACCAATTATTCTAAAATCAATACTTGAAAAATTTTAAATAAAACATTGATGACAATCTAGCTTGAAAAATTGATTCATGTTATTTATTTACGTAAATGATCCTTTAAAATGATACAAATTTGCTCAAAGAACTATATGTTCATATATATTTAAAAATAAAAAAATTACAAGAGTTGTATAAAAGAAAAGAAATACAGGGTATGTTTATATAAATATCTCAAAAACCTGACGTGATGGATTTTTTCTGCTTTCAGATTTGAATTTCCCGAACCCAAATCCTTTAGATTCAACTATTTTTGTCTTTGGATATAAAACCTTGTAAACTAGTGTTATTATTAATTTTTGTCTCACAAAGTACAATTTTTTCAAGAATGTACTTTATGCTTTTTATATATTCACAGAAATGTTTAAAATTAGTTTATTTGAGACAATAGAGAAGTCAGGACAATTCAGGTCACGTTAGGTCAAGTCTGGTCAAGTGCATGAACTAGGAAAGAAATTTTATAGCAAATAGAATAACAAAAAAAGTTACGATTAGCGCTTTTTTTATTTATTTTTCTTTCACATCCTAGATTCTATTATTAGTTTCCACTCCATTCTGCAGAAGAACATAATTAGCCCCGCCCACCCACCCTGCCTCCCTTTCAGTGATTGATTTTATCCGATCTGAATGAAATGAATGATCTTATACTGAACAGAAATAAATTTAGTCGTTAGAATGAGAAGGGGAGAGGTGGGCAGGACTACTACTTGCTAAGATAAGACTGATTTCGGCAAATGACATACCTTCTAAGAAATAATGGGTGGGTGGGCGGGGCTAGTATTTGATAAGATACTACTGATTTTGGCACTTTTGACATTTTCGACCATTTTTCAACCATTTTCGAAAATTAATTGGGCATTTTCTTGTAGATTTCTATATCCAGAAGTCATTTTCGGGTTCGTTTCTTTGGAAATTCCTAGCGTTTTTCCAAATTCGCTAAATATATTGAAATATTGACAAGGTTGACAATCTCGTAAATGCCCTTAACACCTGCGATTTTAATTCATAGTTTTATCAATTTGTTGGCGTTACTATTGTGTTGAAAACAATAACACCAATTTCAGGTTGGTCTGGTAATAAGTGTGATAGGTGGTGATAGGTTTATCTTTAATTTACAATGATTCATCATGAATTGTTTCACTACATTAATTAGAATCATCGAAGATCATATACTAAAACTAGCTGACCCGGCCACGCGTTGCTGTGACTAAAGTTTTTGTTATATTACATTATAGTAAACAATCTAAGAGGAACAATAAGAGAACATCAGTCACGGAGTCCACTATGCTTTTTCACACAGATGGTATTTGTAAAAAAATATGGTGATCTCCTTATTTGACTTTCTACTACTATAACCCTTTAGTACAATGAAATTATTTACGAACAAAGACGAAAATGTTGATGTTGGTATACAAATTCACTGGATTGAGATTTGAAGGGGAAGTACGTTGAACACAATTAATTAAAATGTTCTTACACTTGATATTAAGCAGAAATCAATAGGTACAAAATAAAAATTTATCAGATTTATTATTTCCATTTAATTTTATAACAAATATAAGTATATTACAGTATAATACAGTAAATAACATGTGACGCTTAAACTCATGAATGAGGTAGGCAAGGCAGACAGTCTTAAAGTTTTAAACATTAATATCTATTTTTTTGAATTATAAATACTTTCAATTTCAATTTAATTTAACACCAATCGGTGCACAATGTTTTTGGTTAACCTGTCTTTAGCTAACACAAATAGATTCGACGATCACCAACCATGATAACAGCAACCTCATCAACAGTTGGAGCGTTGAATCTACCAGCATGTTCACCTAATGGTACTTTGTCGGCTTTTATGACGATTTGATAATTGTCATTTTGCAGTCGTGGC